GAAGCCTAACATGGCAAATCCACTATGACAACCGGACCAAACACGAGCATAAAACCATTAGGAGGCTAGCTCCACCAAAGCTTCGAAGCCTAAACATCAAATCCAACACTAGTAGTCTCTAAATCCCCGAGCAAAAGAACCCATTAACCGAGCCCATTAGCCAACATTCAAGATGGTATGATCCGATCGAAGATAGGAAGCAAGAGCTAGCAGGAACGAGCAACAATAGAAGCTACACAAAATCGAGTTCGGGGAGGTAGGCTCGATAAGCCAAAAATCCGAAACTTCCTGAAAGAGCCGAGAGCACCCAACAACGACCCATAGCAAGTAACGAAGCCAAGCCAAAATCAAAATTGCATCTCCGAAATAATCGAAACTAAAGCAACCATAATCCTACCGAAAGTAGAGTTGTTAGCCAAAATCCAACATAGTATGATCTTTTTCATGATAGTAGAAGATCATATAAAAGAGAATTTGGAACCTCCCGAAAGTACTCTCAACCGAGTTATGGGCGACCTCAAAAACTCTCTTGTTGCGCTACCCCCATATTAGATAGATAGTAATACTTAATGAAACCCTTTTCATTCTTGATATAAGGTTCTTCCTTTGATATGATAAACCTCTAATGGCACTCCTAAAAGTAGACATACCTCTTTGAGTTTTTAGCCACTACTTAATCTTGGACCATAAAGACAATGTCCGGATAAAAGCAAAGAAAAGATGATTATGGGACTCCTTGACTTTCCTACGAAGGGATATGAAACATCTTCGGGAATGTATTGAAGGCGATCCTTAGTTCTCAAATTTCCTTTGACCGCCAACCGAATATGAAAGCATGTCATGGCAAGGACCACTACTCCCCAACAACATAAACCTAATTAACCCGCTCCTGTCGTGATCTAACTTGATTATAAGCATTATTGGTGAATTTACCATTATTGTCTTGCCAATTAGCCATCATGTCAATTACATTTGTGCTATCTCTATATCGCTCAACAAGCTGATCCTTTAGAGCAAGTAGAAGTGATGTACCTATTGAATCCAAATAGAATCGGCTTTTATATGGATATCCCAAAACCGTTTAGCAAGGAAAGAAGAGTTTCGATCTTTATGTCGAAAAGACCTAGACCACCTTCTTCCTTAGGACAACAAAGATGTTTCTAAGCAACCAAAGCGAGTACCACATTTTTTGGCATCACCGGACCAAAGAAATTCCTGCATATACTAACAATTTGGTAGATTATCGAAGCGGGAAAGGGGAAGATAGAAAGCCAAAATTGAATCATGCTTGTCAAAACCGATCTCAAAAGCTCCAACCTATCGGTAAAAGAAAGATGCTTGCCCATCCAGCTTTGGACCGCATATTTAAGCCTCCGTATAAGGGGGAAGAACTAGCTAGCAAGGAATCTATGGGGACTCGGAGGAACCCCTAAATATCCGAAAGGAAAAGAGCCTTCTTTGAACCCAAATCATAGAGGATATTTCGAGTCGCAATCGACTCCCTTCAAATAAATAGATGACTTAGCGACATTGATTGCTAGACCTAAAGTCCGCCCAAAAATGCTCAAGTGATGGGTCAAACATTGGACAAAGTCTCTATCTCCACGGCATAGCAGGAGGACATCATCGGCAAAAGCTATGTGACTAATATTTTGACCTCCATACCTTGGATGACATCCGAATTCCTCCCTACTAGCCGCTAGCATAAGCATACGGGAGAAGTACTCCATATAGATTATGAAAAGGTAGGGGGATAAAGGGTCTCCTAGTCCGATGCCTCCATTGCCCGGAAAGAAATCAAAGTGATTACCATTTACATTAACCGAATAAGTAGTCGACTCCACATAAGTCATCACAAAGTTGACAAAGAACTCCAAGAAACCTAGTCGAAGAAGGACCTCTCTCAAGAATAACCACTCGGAATGAATCAAAAGCCTTGGAAAAATCTATCTTCACCGGGCATCTATGAGAAACTCGTTTCCTTCCATATAGCCTAAGTAGTTCCTGGACAAGATGAATATTATCTCGTCATCTTCCTCCCTTCGAATAAAGCATTCTACATCGAGCTAATTATGTTAAGTAGAGCACGGGTAATCCAAGAAGAGAGAAGCTTGGATACCTTATAGATAACATTACAACAAGAGATCGACCTAAAATTAGTCGGTATAATAGCATTGGACGACTTAGGAAGCAAAGCTATTATAGAATGATTGATTTGCCTCAAGAGTTTCCCAAAGAGGAAAAAATCCCTCACGACAAGCACGAAAATCAACACCCACTATGCCCCAAGCCTTTTTCAAGAAGAGTGAGGAGTAACCATCCGATCCTATGGCCTTATTATTATCAATCCCAAATAAAGCCTTCTTGATATCATTATTGGACACAAGTGAGAACAACATATCTTTTGTACTTTGATCAATACAAGGTCCTAAGGCTATAACCCTCGAGTCCAGGGGTAGAGTGTCCCTTGTCGATCCTAGAAGATTGGTAAAGAAACTGATAAATTCCTCGCCCACCTTATTAGCCAATGTAGTGAGCTAGCCATTGTTATATTGTATAGCGAGTTATATGATTTCTCTTGTGGTTCGACCCATAAGAGCATGAAAAAACCCCGAACCTCTGTCATAATCCTTTAGGAACTTATGTTTGAGTTTTTAGTATAAAAAAAAAAAACATCTTTTCTGTCGATTTGAGATTGACCACCTTTAGCTTTAAAGCCCCGTCATCTTCTAGGAGTTGGGTGTTATCCCTGTCATGTTACAAAGCTTCTTGGTTGAGTCGTAAGTCTATTTCTCGCTCTAGTCGCCCTCTCGGAACTATGGTCGAAATGCAGTTTATTCAACTCTTTCAAAGGCCTTTTCAAAAGCTTTAATTTTCTCGAGAGAATAAACATAGGAGTCCCTCGAAGATTTTATTGCCAATGATGGCCAACAATCTAAAGAAAACTTTCATGAGAAGCCCATATGTTAAAAAATTTAAAGCTTTTTGGATTGGAGAGAGGCTGATAGTTCGAGTTGAATTGAAGTCGTAACATGATTCGAAAATGGACTCAGCGTGTCGTAATGAACAAAAGATGGCATATGAAGCATGGACCGAGAGGGGTTAACCTAAACTCTATCTATCTCTCGCCGATCATTACCTCTATTCCAAGTATAGTGGCTACCGACATAATTGAGGTCATTCAAACCAAGATCCAAGCAACACGATATGAAATTCAAGGTCTCGTAATTAGAAATTACCCCTCATTACACTTATCATTTTATGAGAGGACATAGTTGAAATCTCCTAAAATTATACATGGGTGATTAGGATTCCACTTACGAAGATAAGCCCATAAATCCCTCATGTCAAGTATAGTATGATGTCCATACACAAAAGTAGCATAGAAGCTAAACCGCTGAACAAGACTACCGATTCTAACATGCAACCCTTAAGGAGATATATCAAGTAAGTCAATTAAAACTATGTTAGGATTCCAAAAAGAGTAATGCGAGCATATGGAGCTACTACAGCATTGGAGATATAGGTCCATTGCCTTAGTCAAAGATTGTGCATTTAGGCCGGCTTTAAAGGGCTAAGCTTTTTTTTTTTTTTTTTTTGAAAAAAAGACACACATCCATTCTTTTCTTCTTCATGAGGCTAGTCGCCTCATACTCGCTTTAGGGGGCTATCAAGACCCTTGACATTCCAAGCAATAAATTAACATACAAGAGAGGGGGTGGTAGTCACCGGTCTACCACAACTTCTAGTTTTCATCCCCCCACTCTAGTGGTCATCCTCTAGAAAGCCCCATCAAGCCTCTCACCCCCTACTACTCGATCTCTAGCCCTTTGAGTATTAAAAGGTAACACCATTGCACTACTATCACGGACATTGCTATTGCCAATTCTAGCTTCAGCTATACCCCGAGCCACATCCACTCTACCCATAGCATTTCAACCACTTAGGCTAGCGACCTCAACATATGAGTCGCCTAGCCTACCATGGCCCTCATCATTTTCACAAACGACCCTAGTCTTAGTTTCTTTACCTTTCATTGTACACTACCTCGGTTCCATAACCTGGAGCAGCATTCGAAAGAAGCTCACCGCCCGTGGGAATCCGATTATGCCCCTTGGCCTTTCTCTTGACTTTTTCCTATCCGTTTGAAGCAACTATAATCTAAGAGTGCACGAGATCATAGCGCTTAGTCTCATCGGTAGCTATAGAAGCGGCAGCAGCTGGATCGAGCCTTTGAAACATAGTAACCCTTGGTAGATTATCCCCAACCGTTATAGCTTCAGCTTTCTTTTCTTTTCTAGTAGGATTCAAAGGCGCTTTTTACATCTTGAAGTAGAATGACCCGGGACTTATTAATTTTTACAATGAATTGATAATGTCTCATAAACCACGGATTGAAGAAGCTTAGACCCATTAGGAAAAACAATGTTGGCCACCCCTGGTAAGACTTCTATAATGTTCATCTCTATTAAGACCCTAGCATACAATATTCTATCCACGGAGGTCGTTAACCTCTCACATTGGATTGGTTTACCAAGCAAGCTCATAATTTTTTATAAGCACTTAGTGGACCAACATTTGAGGGGAGATTGGGAAACTTCACCCACATTAGAGCTGTGGACATATCCTTATGTGAGAAGTCAAAGAATTCGACATAGACCTCAAAATCAAAGGCCTACCATAAATCAAGTAAGAACCTTCATTCAAAACAACCAGACTTTTCCTCCTCCGAATCAAATTTGCGGACCAACTAACCCGAGTCATGTATTGACAATGTGGCTTTACATTTCCAAGAGTTGTCAATATTGGCACTAAGAGCCCTAAATCCTATGGATTTTTTTGGCAACATATCCAACCAAAGATAGTTTCCACAAATCATATTTAGATTCCTCATTCAACAAAGCACATTTTTTACTTTTTGTAATAAATGAGAAATGTCCGAGTTTAGGACGGAACTCGGGACTTCGGTTGTTAACAAATAAATCCCTCTATTTACTCACTTAGGGTGGATCACTTACTGGTAGAGAAGGTCCAACATCCGCCACTTTCAACGTCGATGTTGATGGAAGACTTGTGTCCTTGGAAGAGTTTAGGACATTGGCACTCGGAGTGCCGCTTTTCAACCGAGTGCCGACATCCGCCTCCCTTAATCGAGTGCTAGCACTGCCACTTGGGATTTGCCTTTTGCACTTAGATTGTTGCCTAAAATCAAATCTCCTCCATGTTGGATAGTGTATGCTTGGTCTGGAGCTAATTTTTGAGAGTCGGTGGCTTCACTCGAACCCAAAGCATGAGGAGGTTTCTCGAAGAATTTTGATCGAGGGACCGGCTCCCTATCCGAATCCGAATAATCCACTTATTCTTTAATGTAATCTTCCTCTTTTGAACATTTCTCAACCTCTACAAAATCATATGCGGGAGCGGGTCATAGGAATTTTAAGGGGAGGACTCGTTGGAAGTTCTAAGTTCACCGACTTGGTTTGGATTGAGTGCTGAAAGGGGAAACCAAATCATTCAAAGGAGGGACGAGTGCCAATGGAGCTTCTAGGGCTATGATTGGATCCTCAAAGTCTCACTCGATAGTATCCTTTGAAGGCTTGGTACTAGATTTGTTTTCTTTTTTCCATAAGAGAGAAAGTTAGCACATCGACGAAGGAGAAAGGAATGAATGAATAGTGAGCGAGGAGAGAATGTGTACACGAGAAGAAGGAGAAAAGGCTAAGAATAGGGAGGAAGTTAGGAGGTTAAAGCATGTTGAACGAGTAGCAGTCCCAATCTTGAGGGAATGATCTCCATGGGAGAAGGAGAGCGTCTCTCTCTACTTTCTCACTCTAGGACTCTACTGCTAGTTGGGATAATCTATTTTGATAGGTTGGGTGTTTAGTCTATTATTAGGATAAGGGACCTCTATTAAACTAATTTAGTGGTTTTATATTCCGTTAGTAACATCAAATTCACTTGTTTTTTTATCACAAGAAAATAGTAGGTGAATAGTTGTTTGTATTGAAAATACCCCGATATTGGTATTTAGGGGTATATTCCGACTATAATTAAAATAGGTTCCATTACTCATCTTTATATGGTCACGGATTAACTAATTATAGTTATCCTTAGTTTGATGTTAGGGTGACGAAACATAAGGAATCCCTGTGTGAATATAGGCCAATAATTATAGGTAGACCACTATATTAGATTGGAGGGTAATATCTCCATATAATATAATATGTATGGATTTAGCAATATGTTCATATAATAAGGTCCCTAATGATCTATAACCATCATAATAGAGGTTTAATATCCTTATATTATAATTAGGTTATTGGCTAATTAAGATACCATTATGTAATGGATCACTCTAGGTTACTTTGATGACCATTAATATAGACCAATGCCAATGGGAGAATAAACTAATAGTGGTAAGAGGAGGTTATTATAGTAAAATGCACCAATGGTAGTTAACTAATTACCTTATCCTAATTAAGACAACCATACTTCCAATATTCGTCATGATCTTCATCCTACCACCATTAGTTTATTTTTTTACCACCTATCATATTATGGGCCATTCTCTATTGGGGATAATTATACTATTCTTATGAAATATTACCTTAATATAATAGTTATATTACACATGCTGAATGTAGGGGTATAGGGTATTTTACTAAGTTATAGAATTACTAGCTATAATGTCGAGGCCTAATTGAAATTATATATATTTGAAGGATGATAGGCACTAGAATATTAGGTCCGCACTATCTCTAGTAATCCTATAGTTAGTAAATAGTATTATGGGAACATCCTAGTATATTAAATCATCTCCAGGAACATTAATTCCTATTAACCTCTTAGATGGACCAATCGAAAACCTTATCTACAAGATTGGTACCTAACTACCATTTGTATATATAATTTCGATTATATTTTAATTAATGTGTTTAATTAGAATATGGTTAATCGTAGTATAATACAAGTACAATTATAGCTTATAACCTAATAACTAAGGGTGATAAAATGTGTCAACTAGTTATATTGGAAGGTTTTCGATTATGTGAACACTAATAGGGATAATACAAGATTAAGTTAAATGACTAATTTAGCTTTCCTTATAGGCTAGGCTATATCGGCCTTATCATGAGAATTAAGGGATTAAACTAAGTTACAAATGGTTATTTGGCCATAATTATGGGATAAAATAGTGGTTATACGAGAAAAGATTACTAGCCCATATAGTTACCATAACAAGGTATTATACTATGAAATATAAGTAATATACATCATTGGATACATTTCTTAGTTCTGTCATAGTATATTAACATTAGTCTCTGTTGAACCGAGTACATAATATGGATATAGCGTTAATAGTCCTATGGTTATCTAAGGAGATGTATATGAAATATAGCCATATATACCCTTAGTTAAACTATATATTTTATACTAACCTAATATTATGAATTAATATCAAAGCATACCTAAAATATAGTGAACGTAAAATATCCATTACTTATTCAATAGTATTATTATGGCCTAATATCTATGTATAATTAACCTATTATTGGAGAACTAATGGTCATAAAGGTAGTTATCACGTTATGGATACCATCTGTTGTGTAATCCAATATATTAATGTTTACATAAATAAAACTATCAATAAGTGTATCCATTCATTATCTTCTATTAAAGATACTTGCGTCTTATATTAGCATGGTATATTATTAGCTATCCTAGATATTAATTGGATAACATACTAAATGTTTAATATCTCATGTTACACTTAAGATTATAATATGCCAAGATTAAGAGGGACATAATAGTAGAATATTCACTTATGATACATTAGTGAATATGTTTTTAGTTTATTATAGTTAACCATTAACTATCTATTGGTTATTTGAACTCAATTAAGAAGACATTAAATTAAGGGAAATATGAGTTTTTAATCTCTGTTAAGGAGAGAACAAGGGGGGAGGGGTGACTATTAATAAAATGTATAAATGGTTAACTATAACAAGGATTTATAATATGGCTAGAATTTCTAATCTTCTATACCTAATCTCCCGGTATCATATGCTTATACAAATAGTTAAAGACATAATCTATTAATACTAAAGGGAGGAGAAGATTATAGCTTATTAGAGTACAATATCCCATATATACCCTTGGGTAATATATTAACCTAAATAAAAGTCATATCCTATATATATCATTGGGTAATATATTTATGTTGATTACCTCATTAATGATAAAACCTTATCCCTATGACCATGATGTATACTAATCCAATGACTTGATAGGGAGTACATATCGTTGGAAAATGGATATATATGGAGTACCCTAACACTATTTAAAAGAATTTACCCTTACGGTCCCCCTAGAGTAACTCTCACGACATGTTATTTGATTAGGTTGAGAATAGGACTCGATTCCACCTCTAGTAATCCTATTTTTATATTATACACAGTATGGTAATATCAATAATATATAAGGCCCAATAATCTTATAGATCACCTTTAATTATGAAGTGATTAGATAATGTAACTCCTAGTGCCACTATCACAAATAGACCTAGTGACCTATATTGGTAAGGGACCTTATCTTTTCATGTTAGTAAAAGTAAGTTAGAGGTTCGTATATCTTTTAGTATACTTATAAGATGGAGAAAATCGATCTTATCCATATGGATTGTGTACCCTCTTCATTATAACTCTACAAGATAATCATAACAATCCTTAGTGAGTAATGATATACCTAGTTTAGTTATCATCATTAAGAATAGAATTTATCCACTAAGAGTCATTCCATAGTTGTTATCAAACCATCCTTAGGGTACTACTCATGAAAACTAAGTAATACTATTAGTGATTTATCACAATAGAACATAACTCAAAAAGGTATTAGTATTATCTAAGAAGAATAATATTAGGGATATACATTAAGACTGTATTGGTAATACCCTATGTAAAATATTTAGGTATAGTTGGTCAGCCAATTCACGTATAAACCATACTTGGACCATCAATGACCAAATAAAAACACATTGTAATTTCTCATGGGCACACCCTTATTTGAATAGCTATATGTTTAAGGGTATTGTATAACACAGGTATAATATTGTAATAAGCCCTTACAATGGAGAGAATATATTATCACAATAAAAGGAGGGTTATCTAATTCGATCATTAGTCCTTATAATCGGATTTATTCTTATCGATATAGCGATTACTATATATGTAAAATAAAGTTAATATTTGGTTGGGATATTAATCAATTATAACATAATATTGATAACTATAACTAGTATATGGCCCCTTTGTAAGGAGGCTATGATAAACTCCATAAAGTATATATCTTATCCACTTTATGCATTAACTAGGTGTTTTAATTTAGGACATAATCATTTATAGCTGGTATCATAAAAGGCGACCCAATTTGTGTGGATACTAAGATAAACTCCATACTACATGTATTTTAAGTGATTTACCTTAAATCATAATTGTTAAAGGGCCTAATATGGGTTATTCCTTAGGCCCAATAAGAGACCTAATGTAAGCATCAACCATATTAACCATTTTATACACCTAATTAGCGTGGAGTTATTCATGAGGATTATGAGAAACTTATATACAACTCTTCGAGTACCTCCTAGTTAAGGGTTATATACCCATTAATTATAGCCCCTTAGATGCATATGATATTAATATCATAAAGAACCACATCTTTGCACTATCCTTATTGATCGAGTTATAATTTTAATGGGCTAAGGGATTGAACCATATTTAATATAGGACTAGTACTCGAGTTAGTATATCTAATCTTCACCCTAACTATATGATTATTAATATGGATATAAGTTTCTTTCCCCTTAGTGTCCATAATCTACATGAATAACTCCACGCTAATCGGATGTATAAAATGGTTGATATGGTTGATGCTTACATTAAGTCTTTTATTGGGCCTAGGGCATAACCCATATTGGACCCTTCAACAATTATGATTTAGTTTTTTTAACTAAAATATCTTTAATTACCTCTTATATTAAATAGGGACCTATGCATAATTTTGTTAAATATATGTCGATAAAAATCAGCCAATTACTATTCAACCAATAACTATTAGGGTATGCGTAAGTTATTAGGTTGGTCACTAAGGTCGATGTATAATATGTATGGCATAGTAGGGTTAACTCATAAAC